TAGTACCTACATACCGGTAGATTATTCACGTGTACTGCTCTGATATAATATCAACATACAGTTAGATTATTCACCTGTACTGTTCTGATATAGTACCTATATACAGGTAGATTATTTACCTGTACTGTTCTGATATAGTACCTACATACAGGTAGATTATTTGCTCTGATATAATATTGACTGTAGATTATTCACCTGTACTGTTCTGATATAGTACCTATAGATTATTTACCTATATACAGGTAGATTATTTACCTGATATAGTACCTACATACAGGTAGATGTTATACCTATATACAGGTAAATTATTTACCTGTACTGTTATTTAACTATGATATACTGCATACTGTATAAATCACAGTGTTCTGATATAATACCTATATACAGGTAGATTATTTACCTTTACTGTTCTGATATAGTACCTACATACAGGTAGATTATTTACCTGCACTGTTCTGATATAGTACCTATATACAGGTAAATTATTTACCTGTACTGTTATTTAACTATGTTCTGATATAGTACCTATATACAGGTAGATTATTTACCTGTAGTGTTCTGATATAGTACCTATATACAGGTAGATTATTTACCTGTACTGTTATTTAACTATGATATACTGCATACTGTATAAATCACAGTGTTCTAATAATTATTTTTCCTGATTGGGTAATGTTATAGAAAACTGTTTAGAATATTCCAGTAACAATTTACTATAAATTAACTGAAAACTTTAATTATTTTATAGGATACTATATCAGTCAATTATACCGTTATAAGTATACAATGCATAAAATGATATTTTGAATTCATGAAGCAATATGACCGTATCAATAATGAGAGAAAATACGTCCATTGTTTTAACACAAGGGTTCAAAAGATGCAGGTTGGTGAAAATTATGGGGAAGTTTTATAGTCGCCAGAGTGACCTCATTGAGAAATATTCTTTTTCTTTGTGCAACATGAAGCTGGACGCATTTAATGCTCGTAAGTTTGCCTCTTGGTTCCTTTGTTGTATACCTTATTCTTATTTGAAAACGTGACATTACTGACTTGGATTGACCAAGGTTTACAAGGCGGGTGTCGTCGATGAAGCAGAAGATGCTTACTCTTCAGGAACACTGCTTGTAATTTTTCAGGAGTTTCCTTGTAATTTTTTTCTTTCGTTCATATTTTGCCCTAGTTTTATGGAATTTGAATTTGAAGTATGATTATGTTGCCATGTCGATATTTTCTTGATTATTTTTTTTTTCGGTTTATATAATTTGATCCACAGATACATAGCCGTATGTGAACATACTGTATAGCAAAATTAATGATATTGATAACGGGAATAATTAGGATAGTTTTGTATAATTAGCGTATTTTTTAAATACACACACATACATTTGACACAAATGTACTAAATTAATAACACTGAAATTATTGAAGAAAGGCTGATATTGAATAGTTCTTACTTAAAACTGTTTAACTATCGAACACAATGTCACTCTAAATGTACAAGAAAGTAATGCTTGCTTATTGGATAACAGAGCCATTATCCAAACGTTTTTAAATATGGTTATGTCCTTTTGGATGTGCGTTGTCTTGTTGTTGACCATGAACTCCAAGAAAATTGAGTTGGGCTAGTTATGTCATATTGGTTTTGAGTAGCGTGAAATATCTCCGACAGTTGTCTGGGTCCACTTTCTCTCAAGGTTGATGTCTGTCCGAGTTCGTCTGTAATACAATTGGACGGTATTTTTCCGACTACAACCTGTCGTACGTTTCTCAATCTTAGCGTGTGTTTCAAGTAGATGTTTCCGTTAAACACGATTTGCTGTCTACCTAACTTGTTGCGGAGACACGTCACGTGAATTTGTACATTTTTTCACGTTGGTAGTTGAGGGGAATTATGTGACAGATGTTTCCATCTGACCTTTTTATATACTTTAAACTACAGCATCAAAGTATGGTTTTCAAATACAAACATAACTAAAGATAATACTAGAGGAGTAAGGCAAGAGAATTTCGAGAGATAAGAAAAATACTGTTCTAATGTGAATTAAACTTCCTTATCAAAAATATTTGCAATATTTTTTTTTCTCTCCAAAATTACTCATTCAAACAGTCACCATCACTTCCTAAAATATTACGTTCATCTCTGCCAGTGTTACATGGCTTGTTTCTATATATCTAGCTAATGGAAGGTTATGGGAATATATATATATATGAAAGTAATGAGGGCGAATACAGGTAAAACAGTCGAGAGAACAACACAGGTAAAACACGTAGGAGAACAACGCAGGTAAAACACGTAGGAGAACAACGCAGGTAAAACAGGTGAGTAAACAACACATGCACAACAGGTAGGAGAACAACGCAGGTAAAACAGATGTGAGAAAACAACACATGTTAAACAGGTAGGAGAACAACACAGGTAAAACAGGTGAGGAAACAACACATGCAAAACAGGTAGGAGAACAACGCAGGTAAAACAGATGAGAAAACAACACAGGTAAAACAGGTGAGAAAACAACACAGGTAAAACAGGTGAGAAAACAACACAGGTAAAACAGGTGAGAAAACAACACAGGTAAAACAGGAGAGAAAACAACACATGTAAAACAGATAGGAGAACAACGCAGATAAAACAGGTGAGAAAACAACACATGCACAACAGGTAGGAGAACAACGCAGGTAAAACAGATGAGAAAACAACACAGGTAAAACAGGTGAGAAAACAACACAGGTAAAACAGGTGAGAAAACAACACAGGTAAAACAGGTGAGAAAACAACACAGGTAAAACAGGAGAGAAAACAACACATGTAAAACAGGTAGGAGAACAACACAGGTAAAACAGGTGAGAAAACAACACAGGTAAAACAGGTGAGAAAACAACACATGTAAAACAGGTAGGAGAACAACGCAGGTAAAACAGGCGTGAGAACAACAAATGTAAAACTGGAGAACAACACATGTAAAACAGGTGTGAGAACAACGCAGGTAAAACAGATGATAAAACAACACAGGTCAAACAGGTGTGAGAAAACAACACATGTTAAACAGGTAGGAGAACAACGCAGGTAAAACAGATGAGAAAACAACACAGGTAAAACAGGTGAGAAAACAACACAGGTAAAACAGGAGAGAAAACAACACATGTAAAACAGGTAGGAGAACAACACAGGTAAAACAGGTGAGAAAACAACACAGGTAAGACAGGTGAGAAAACAACACATGTAAAACAGGTGAGAAAACAACGCAGGTAACACAGGTGTGAGAACAACAAATGTAAAACTGGTGTGAGAACAACAAATGTAAAACAGGTGTGAGAACAACACATGTAAAACAGGTGTGAGAACAACGCAGGTAAAACAGGTGAGAAAACAACACATGTAAAACAGGTGTGAGAACAACAAATGTAAAACTGGTGTGAGAACAACACATGTAAAACAGGTGTGAGAACAACACATGTAACACAGGTGTGAGAACAACGCAGGTAAAACAGATGAGAAAACAACACAGGTAAAACAGATGTGAGAAAACAACACATGTTAAACAGGTGTGAGAACAACACAGGTAAAACAGGTGAGGAAACAACACATGCAAAACAGGTATGAGAACAACGCAGATAAAACAGGTAGGAAAACAACACATGCACAACAGGTAGGAGAACAACGCAGGTAAAACAGATGAGAAAACAACACAGGTAAAACAGGTGAGAAAACAACACAGGTAAAACAGGTGAGAAAACAACACAGGTAAAACAGGTGAGAAAACAACACAGGTAAAACAGGTGAGAAAACAACACAGGTACAACAGGTGTGAGAGCAACACCTGTAAAACAGGTGTGAGAACAACACAGGTAAAACAGATGTGAGAACAACACATGTAAAACAGGTGTGAGAACAATATATGCAAAACGGATGGGAGGACAACACAGGTAAAACGGATGGGAGGACAACACAGGTAAAACGGATGGGAGGACACACAGGTAAAACGGATGGGAGGACAACACAGGTAAAACGGATGAGAAAACAACAAAGGTAAAACAGGTGAGAAAACAACACAGGTAAAACAGGTGAGAAAACAACACATGTAAAACAGGTAGGAGAACAACACAGGTAAAACAGGTGAGAAAACAACACAGGTAAAACAGGTGAGAAAACAACACATGTAAAACAGGTGAGAAAACAACACATGTAAAACAGGTGTGAGAACAACAAATGTAAAACTGATGTGAGAACAACACATGTAAAACAGGTGTGAGAACAACACATGTAACACAGGTGTGAGAACAACGCAGGTAAAACAGGTGTGAAAACAGCGCAGGTAAAACAGGTAGGAGAACAAATGTAAAACTGGTGTGAGAACAACTTAGGTAAAACAGGTGTGAGAACAACACAGGAAAAACAGGTGTGAAAACAACACCTGTAAAACAGGTGTGAGAACAACACAGGTAAAACGAATGGGAGGACAACAAATGTAAAACTGGTGTGAGAACAACACATGTAAAACAGGTGTGAGAACAACACAGGTAAAACAGGTGTGAGAACAACATATGCAAAACGGATGTGAGGACAGCACAGGTAAAACGGATGGGAGGACAACACAGGTAAAACGGAAGGGAGGACAACACAGGTAAAACGGATGGGAGGACAACACAGGTAAAACAGGTAGGAGAACAACAAATGTAAAACTGGTGTGAGAAAAGCACAGGTAAAAATAATCTAAAACAGCAAGGTTGAAAAATGCGCCAATTAACAGTAACACAAGGGCAGGTTATGATTGACAGAGATTTCTCAGGTTTATTTTCGATTTACAAACACGTGTCTCTGTATACCAGTTTAATTTCTGGCGGGAAAGGCTTTTAGCATAATCACGTGATGTGGAGTTTCCATAGTGGTTACTTCCAGGTCACATGATAAACAAACATCGTTGTAGGACCTTGGCAAGGTGCCCTGGATGTGCTCAGTCTATGAATGAATATTTTATGATGTCATAGACAACTTCGTGATGGCACTAAAAACTACCACCCATCTCTCCAGCACGCTGCCACACGTTCTGAAGGAATATGTACCTGATTACGAGCCGAAACACACACCGTAAGTATCGAACCGACGATGTGTTTACATCTCAGTAACATGTCAACCATTGACACATGCGCGCCAGGGTCGGTTCAAGATATGACACTTATCTATCTGTTGATGTTGAATGAATGAAGTACGTTTGCAGTAATCACTAGTTCCTATTGAGGGTGTGTAACATCGTATAGTTAATCTATGGTATATGCTTTCGTTGATAACACATTAGTTAACATGGTAAAGGGTCTTCAGTTTGTCGTTCTCATTTATCTAAGGGAGATAACGCTGTTCAACTTACCGCGTAGTCTTGATTTCACATTAAAATTAATGTTTCAAATGTGACTTAAAGCAAGGAAACATTCTGCTATTTTGAGTGACGAGACTAGCAAAAAACATGTCAGCTTAAGAAAAAGTAAAAATAAAGATAAATTAGAATTAATTTTCCAGAGTGTTAAAATCACATTCATGAGACAATACCTCGGACAGCTACACTGTCGACTCCCTGCTGACTTAAATTACAGTTCTCTGTTGATCGCTACGTTCAAGTTTTCACTTCCTAAAAAATGCAAATGTTATATGTAGGTCCCTGATATAAACAAGGAAGTAAGGAACATATTATATGTATGTCCCTGATACATCAGTGACACCATATGTATATATTCATGATATTAATAGGGACACCAGGGACATGTATTATTATGTACATCTCTGATATAAGCGGGACATCAGCAGTGTATTATATGGACACTGTATATCTCCATCAGCTAAGATTTTTCAATTTTACTATAGTTATTGTGATGCCCGTTAGAGATGAAAGAATGCTTCCACAGAACACGGATTTCTGAATTTATCAGGTATAACCTGTTCAATACTTGGCCCATCTCTTTTATCAAATACTCATTGAATAGATATATACGTCTCTGGATAGATCAAACATTTCTCTTACAGGTAATGCAACAGCTACTAAAATATAACACAATAAAAATATCATAATACATCATAAAAAAAAAATAGTTGTCTGTTCTTTTTAGATTATATTCTTGTGAGTATAATACATTTATGGACTGTGGGTTTTTTTAATTTGTGCCAAGTCCCTGTGATGGAGACTTTGGGTTTTGAGTTTCTGCCAAATTTCGCTAATGAGAATTGTGAGTTTGGAATTTCTACAGGATCCCTGTGGTTGGTAATATTTCCATTAGCTTATTAGGGAGCTTGAAGGTGTCTGAGTTATATTTCGATGAGAGGTTCTGGGTTCAATTCTTCACAAAGGCCTTTAATACATGTGAGCCTACCATCAGATTTTAAGTCCAATAATTCTAAAATGATAATTTAATGTCAATATTCAAATTTATTATGCTGTTATTAATATTTACTTTTTTTTTTAATTGATCGTCATTCTTAAATAAGCATAATCAATGAAAATTAAAAAAATATTCATAACAACGTGTGGGTAAAACTGGGAATATTGACAATAAATCATCAGTTTAGGGACAGCAATTTTCATTCTTACCATATTCATGATGGGTACTCGAGGGTTCTCACTCTGTAAATAGTAATGCTAACAGTTTGATATTTATTGTAAAGATAGTCTAATTTCAGTAGTTTGATATTTATTATAAAGTTAGTCTAATTTCTGTAGTTTGATATTTATTATAAAGTTAGTCTAATTTCAGTAGTTGGTGTCATGGGAAAGGATCAAGACAGTATACAAGGAATGAAATTGAAATATTTTACTTGTGATCTAAACATTACAGATCAATTCATCCTGGTCATTCACTACAGTATGATTCCTTCCTCGTCTTTTGTATAGAGGTGTTTGTGACAAAAGGTGTCCTTTATATAGAGGTGTTTGTAGGTATCCTTTATACAGGAGTGTCTATTGCCACGTGTCCTCATTGTGCAGGTGTCTGCGACAACAGGTGTCCTCTGTATGGAGTGTCTGTGACAACATGTGTCCTCTGTATGGAGGTGTCTGTGACAACAGGTGTCCTCTGTATGGAGGTGTCTGTGACAACAGGTGTCCTCTGTATTGGGGTGTCTGTGACAACAGGTGCCCTCTGTATTGAGGTGTCTGTGACAACAGGTGTCCTTTGTATAGTGTATGGTATGTAACCAAATGTGTCCTCTGTGTAGAGGTTGCTGTCACTAAAGGTGTCCTCTGTGTAGAGGTGGCTGTTACCAAAGGTGTCCATTATGTAGAGGTGACTGTCACTAAAGGTGTCCTCTGTGTAGAGGTGGCTGTAACCAAAAGTGTCCATTATGTAGAGGTGACTGTCACTAAAGGTGTCCTCTGTGTAGAGGTGGCTGTATCCAATGATGGCTTCTGTGTAGAGGTGGCTGTATTTAATGATGGCCTCTGTGTAGAGGTGACTGTCACTAAAGGTGTCCTCTGTGTAGAGGTGGCTGTATCCAATGATGGCCTCTGTGTAGAGGTGACTGTCACTAAAGGTGTCCTCTGTGTAGAGGTGGCTGTATCCAATGATGGCTTCTGTGTAGAGGTGGCTGTATCCAATGATGGCTTCTGTGTAGAGGTGGCTGTATCCAATGATGGCCTCTGTGTAGAGGTGACTGTCACTAAAGGTGTCCTCTGTGTAGAGGTGACTGTATCCAATGATGGCCTCTATGTAGAGGTGGCTGTATCCAATGATGGCTTCTGTGTAGAGGTGACTGTATCCAATGATGGCTTCTGTGTAGAGGTGACTGTATCCAATGATGGCTTCTGTGTAGAGGTGACTGTATCCAATGATGGCTTCTGTGTAGAGGTGACTGTATCCAATGATGGCTTCTGTGTAGAGGTGACTGTATCCAATGATGGCTTCTGTGTAGAGGTGACTGTCACTAAAGGTGTCCTCAGTGTAGAGGTGGCTTTAACCAAAGGTGTCCATTATGTAGAGGTGACTGTTACTAAAGGTGTCCTCTGTGTAGAGGTGGCTGTATCCAATGATGGCTTCTGTGTAGAGGTGGCTGTATCCAATGATGGCTTCTGTGTAGAGGTGACTGTATCCAATGATGGCTTCTGTGTAGAGGTGACTGTATCCAATGATGGTTTCTGTGTAGAGGTGACTGTATCCAATGATGGCTTCTGTGTAGAGGTGACTGTATCCAATGATGGCTTCTGTGTAGAGGTGACTGTCACTAAAGGTGTCCTCTGTGTAGAGGTGGCTTTAACCAAAGGTGTCCATTATGTAGAGGTGACTGTTACTAAAGGTGTCCTCTGTGTAGAGGTGGCTGTATCCAATGATGGCTTCTGTGTAGAGGTGACTGTATCCAATGATGGCTTCTGTGTAGAGGTGACTGTATCCAATGATGGCTTCTGTGTAGAGGTGACTGTATCCAATGATGGCTTCTGTGTAGAGGTGACTGTATCCAATGATGGCTTCTGTGTAGAGGTGACTGTCACTAAAGGTGTCCTCTGTGTAGAGGTGGCTTTAACCAAAGGTGTCCATTATGTAGAGGTGACTGTTACTAAAGGTGTCCTCTGTGTAGAGGTGGCTGTATCCAATGATGGCTTCTGTGTAGAGGTGGCTGTATCCAATGATGGCTTCTGTGTAGAGGTGACTGTATCCAGTGATGGCTTCTGTGTAGAGGTGACTGTATCCAATGATGGCTTCTGTGTAGAGGTGACTGTATCCAATGATGGCTTCTGTGTAGAGGTGACTGTATCCAATGATGGCTTCTGTGTAGAGGTGACTGTCACTAAAGGTGTCCTCTGTGTAGAGGTGGCTGTATCCAATGATGGCTTCTGTGTAGAGGTGGCTGTCACTAAATGTGTCCTCTGTGTAGAGGTGACTGTATCCAATGATGGCCTCTGTGTAGAGGTGGCTGTCACTAAAGATGTCCTCTGTGTAGAGGTGACTGTATCCAATGATGGCCTCTGTGTAGAGGTGGCTGTATCCAATGATGGCCTCTGTGTAGAGGTGGCTGTCACTAAAGGTGTCCTCTGTGTAGAGGTGACTGTATCCAATGATGGCCTCTGTGTAGAGGTGGCTGTCACTAAAGGTGTCCTCTGTGTAGAGGTGACTGTATCCAATGATGGCCTTTGTGTAGAGGTGGCTGTCACTAAAGGTGCCCTCTGTGTAGAGGTGGCTATATCCAATGATGGCCTCTGTGTAGAGGTGACTGTATCCCATGATGGCCTCTGTGTAGAGGTTGCTGTCACTAAAGGTGTCCACTGTGTAGAGGTGGCTGTATATAATGATGGCCTCTGTGTAGAGGTGGCTGTATCCCATGATGGCGTCTGTGTAGAGGTGACTGTATCCAATGATGGCATATGTGTAGAGGTGTGTTTGACAACAGGTTCTATTATGGTAGATATCAGTTTTACAGAAGTGTGTCTAACTGTCAGTTGTCGCAGATGTGTGGTTTATTAGAGTATCTCTTTCACAGATATTCATTTTCAATCTAAAGTATTTAAACAAATTCCTTAAATTGTTTGAAGGTTAGAACAAAGAGAAGGGAGTGTTAAAATATATTTAAATTTGTTTGTCATTTTTATGTCTTGGTATTAATTTGATATCTATTGAAATGCAGTGCTGCCAAAACTTTGATAGAGCCTAGACTGGACTCACCATCTAAAACTGAACAGTCCGAAGGTCAGCAGTCAAATCGGGACCTGACAAGACAGCAGTCACGTTGCACAACGAACCACAGGAGGAATGTCAGTCCGTCTCCTACCAACTATGGACGCAAGAAGAAACAGATGAGTGACAATGAGGTAGGGTTTAGTCCATGAAAACTAGACTTATTAGAGGCTTGTGCTGTACGCCAAAACAAGTCACAGCAAACATTAAGTGGTAAAATACGCTAATGATTTCCAATAAAATGGGAAAGTCTTATTAAAAATCACTATTAGACAACTGCGTGAATATGAGCAGTCTACCTTGTTAAATATCGATTAGTAAGACTAAGAATTCTCACGTTGATTCTCAGCATGGATTTTTGTCAGAATCATACAAGGTATTGATATGTATTTTTAGTTGAAGGATCCATATTTTTCAAAGTTTTCTGTCCATTGTTTTTGTCTGTTGTTTTCTTAGAAACCTCTGACAAATGTAGGTGATATGGGAGGGTAAGATGGTTGATGTGACTTCCTAGAAATGTAGGTGATATGGGAGGGTAAGATGGTAGATGTGACTTCCTAGAAATGTAGGTGATATGGGAGGGTAAGATGGTTGATGTGATTTCCTAGAAATGTAGGTGATATGGGAGGGTAAGATGGTTGATGTGACTTCCTAGAAATGTAGGTGATATGGGAGGGTAAGATGGCTGATGTGACTTCCTAGAAATGTAGGTGATATGGGAGGGTAAGATGGTTGATGTGACTTCCTAGAAATGTAGGTGATATGGGAGGGTAAGATGGTTGATGTGATTTCCTAGAAATGTAGGTGATATGGGAGGGTAAGATGGTTGATGTAACTTCCTAGAAATGTAGGTGATATGGGAGGGTAAGATGGCTGATGTGACTTCCTAGAAATGTAGGTGATATGGGAGGGTAAGATGGTTGATGTGATTTCCTAGAAATGTAGGTGATATGGGAGGGTAAGATGGTTGATGTGACTTCCTAGAAATGTAGGTGATATGGGAGGGTAAGATGGCTGATGTGACTTCCTAGAAATGTAGGTGATATGGGAGGGTAAGATGGTTGATGTGATTTCCTAGAAATGTAGGTGATATGGGAGGGTAAGATGGTTGATGTGACTTCCTAGAAATGTAGGTGATATGGGAGGGTAAGATGGCTGATGTGACTTCCTAGAAATGTAGGTGATATGGGAGGGTAAGATGGTTGATGTGACTTCCTAGAAATGTAGGTGATATGGGAGGGTAAGATGGCTGATGTGACTTCCTAGAAATGTAGGTGATATGGGAGGGTAAGATGGTTGATGTGATTTCCTAGAAATGTAGGTGATATGGGAGGGTAAGATGGTTGATGTGACTTCCTAGAAATGTAGGTGATATGGGAGGGTAAGATGGCTGATGTGACTTCCTAGAAATGTAGGTGATATGGGAGGGTAAGATGGCTGATGTGACTTCCTAGAAATGTAGGTGATATGGGAGGGTAAGATGGTTGATGTGACTTCCTAGAAATGTAGATGATATGAGAAGGAATTCAGGAAAAACCCCATTCTTTATTTTCCTTGCATTAAAAACAACATCAGATATTTAACCCAATTTTAGGGGAAATTGTCATTGACTTATATATAAGCTTTTTGTAGGAAATTGTCATAGAGTTAACTACAAATTTTTCTTTGGAAACTGTTGTTGAGGTCGATACCAGCCTTTGAGTGCAAATTACACATGAGTGCACGTCTGTTGATAAAATAGAATATATATATATATATATTTACAGTTAAACAATACAAACATTACAATTTACAGATTTAAGCTTTGGTTTCAGATCTGTTATTGTTTTAGAAAAACAATAAAAAGAAAGAAAAAAATAATGCCTGATTACTGGGACGTTGTTGAAATCAATACATGAAATACATAGCAATTGATATTGCAGGTTTTGTTGCAGAATTACTAAGTCTGACCTCAGACAGAGTTCTCTTTCCTTGGAAGAGTTAATTCCCTTGCATTGTTAAAATGACCCGTATTATTGATTTTATTTGCAGTATTCACTTAAATATTACTTATGTTTTACATCTATCTAGATAAAAAAAACAAAAACATACCATGTCATTTCATAGCATTGGTCCAGTTCACAGACTGTGAATTATCCAGAATTGAAACATAAGTCCTAGTACTGTGTATATCATTGGATGATGGTCCATGTTTTAAATTGATGAAAAAGTACATAGATCTCTTGTTGTCACTGGATAGTGAAAACATCATCAAGTATTCTTTTTTCTATTTTTATTTTCTGCATACATGAAATAAAAAATAAAAACTTCAATAACCTCAAAAATGATGACATCACAATTTAATGTGTATGTTGGTGTAAATTTTGTTTGGCACTGATAGATGTGTGTTTTATGGTTAGTATGCCAAGCAGGACAAGAAGTGATGTTTCAGTTTGGTAAATCCAAACAAATGTTAGCTGTAGAGGTAAAATGTGTTGGAAGCAATCAAGTGTGTTGTGGCAGCCTAAAGATCAATGGAACCAGGAGGGTATACCATTGACGAAGGTTGACTGACATAGGCAACTCATTCCAATGTAGTGGTATTGATCCTGCAGGTCCATTATAGACAAGCTATGTAGCTCCAGCTTCCGTCTCTTTAACCATCCCATTGCTGCCACAAAGCAGCCCCTGGTAGGCACAATATTACAAACCCCTGTCCGTTATAAATACACTTCTGTAGATGTTGAGTTCTTTACCGATTGGTGCTGAAGTAATTGCCTTCAGTTGTCATTAGAAACCAAATGACTCTGTTTTAATTAATGATATCATAGGTGTCCTGTTCAATTCATTGTCAGTGTAATTTTATTTAAACAGTTTAGTATTGTGGCAAATAAGAAAAAAAAACTACCAACACTGTTAACATGTGTAGTTAGGATTTATAGGGCCTGTATTTTGTTAATAGATTTGTTTGGTGATAAATAGCTACTCTTACAATACAACAAACCCTTTTTTCATCAACCAGGATTTTTCACTTTATTTTCATATTTTCAGAGAATATTGTTTAAAGTAATACTGAAATATAAAAAATTCAATTGTTTTATGACTTAGGTGATATCTTACTTCATATAATTTTTTTTTACATGATGAAGATGTGTTGGATTTGAATTTAAGATGTCTAGGATATATCTTATATTTCTTATAAAACTGTTGACTTTTGATTTTAATTATCAATATTGGATAAAAGGACTAAATTTTATTTTCATTTAATCATACTGCAGGTATATTCTAGTATAGTTTCTGTGTGTTAACAAGATTTGAATAAATCTCATTAAGTTAGTATCAGGAAATCAGGTTTGTCTAAACTGACAATCCGGGAGGATTGTTAGCCTAATTAGGTAGGTCTGATGTAACAAATACCTTTTCCTTTTAAATTTGTTCAAGTTTGTCATCTAAATTTACAGTTTGATTTGAGAAAACATTATTTATGTATAGGTAAAAGTCTTATATATAGACATTTCTTTGCTTTTGGTTTCAATGGGTACACATTTTGTAATGAACAGATGGTAGAAAAGAAACTAAATTTAAAAATTTTTACAAACATTGTAAGAAAATTCAGGATCTCCGATTTATTTGAAGTTGGATTGTTGTCGGTGTTACAGAGTTTAAATAAATAACCAGTATCGTATTCATATTACTCAGATTATTTAAACTTCTTGTAAAATATTCATTCTGACCGAGAAGATATTTTCTAATCACAGAAAAAGTATTGAGTGTAAGTCAAAGATGAATATAAATTATTGTTTCGTTTTTTCCCCGATATGGTAAAGTGTATTGATAGAACTGGATCTCAATGAACGAGACGTATAAAGTTACATGTACAATTTTATGCTACAGTTTACCGTGACACAATGACACATAATTTACCATAAATTCCACAGGGAAATGTGAAAACATTAGTGTATCAGGTGAGTGATTATTTCACTCGAACATTAAATATCTTATCCACAATATGAAATATTGATACTATTCTTTAACGCCGTTGAATAGTATTCTATACAAGTATTGTGTCCTTGACAGCGCTAGAACAGTGAGTTTATGATCTAACATTGTCTGTCCTCTTCTGTTAACTCATCCTTTCAGCTGGAAAGACAAATGCAGGGATTCAGATTACTATTTTGGTGCATTGTGGGGCCAAACTAGTAGTTAGTATCATGTGTAAAGAAAGTAAGCCTACCTTAGGGTAAGATGGACAAGTACAAGGAAGGTAGGCCTACCTGAGGGGAAGATGGACAAGTATAAGGAAGGTAGGCCTACCTGAGGGGAAGATGGAAAACAAGTATAAGGAAGGTAGGCCTACCTGAGGGGAAGATGGACAAGTATAAGGAAGGTAGGCCTACCTGAGGGGAAGATGGACAAGTAAAAGGAAGGTAGGCCTACCTGAGGGGAAGATGGACAAGTATAAGGAAGGTAGGCCTACCTTAGGGTAAGATGGAAAACAAGTATAAGGACGGTAGGCCTACCTGAGGGGAAGATGGACAAGTATAAGGAAGGTAGGCCTACCTGAGGGGAAGATGGACAAGTATAAGGAAGGTAGGCCTACCTGAGGGGAAGATGGACAAGTATAAGGAAGGTAGGCCTACCTTAGGGTAAGATGGAAAACAAGTATAAGGACGGTAGGCCTACCTGAGGGGAAGATGGACAAGTATAAGGAAGGTAGGCCTACCTGAGGGGAAGATGGACAAGTATAAGGAAGGTAGGCCTACCTGAGGGGAAGATGGACAAGTATAAGGAAGGTAGGCCTACCTGAGGGGAATATGGACAAGTATAAGGAAGGGAGGCCTACCTGAGGGGTAGATGGACAAGTATAAGGAAGGTAGGCCTACCTGAGGGGAAGATGGACAAGTAAAAGGAAGGTAGGCCTACCTTAGGGGAAGATGGACAAGTATAAGGAAGGTAGGCCTACCTGAGGGGAAGATGGGAAAGTATAAGGAAGGTAGGCCTACCTGAGGGGAGATTGTCATACAGAATCCCCTACTGGAGTGAGTTACATATTGTTACCCTCTACCCCTCGAACAGAATCCCCTACTAGAGTGAGTTATATATAGTTACCCTCTACCCCTCGAACAGAATTCATCACTAGAGTGAGTTATATTTA